CATCATTCTACCTGAGTGCTTCGAAAGTACCTAGCAAATGTGGCCTGACCTTTTGGTGGGACACAATTGGGCAGGTGACAGATCTCACTGGAAGCAGTGACACACCCCTGGCCACCCCGCACACACCTTCCTCACTTAATTGGTTCTCAATCTAGCAGCACAGACCAGCCCCAGCTCTGACTGACCTGCTCAGGGTGGTAACCGGAAAGTCAAACAACTTCGGTTTTCTCAGAGACTGACAAATCATTCTCTAGCCAAACAAGCTACTTCAGAGTTGATCTTGCAAAGTTCCCTATATAAATGAACTGGCTCTGAAAGAAACCGGCTTCATTGATAAGCAGTTCCCCCAAAGATCCAGAAAACACTTGAGAGAGTTTTCCACTGACCTGTACCGTAAACAAACTCTCATGACCCCACGAATGAAGCAAAGCTTTTAAAGAAACCACCTGGCTGACACTGGGTGATGCACGTGTTTCACCGTGTTATTTTTTTAAATCAACCCTTAAAATGATTTTAAAAATTTGAGATCCTTTGACAGCATTATAACTGCTTGTTTCTCTATTACCCCAAAGAATTGTTATTTCATAATAAAGCATATTTTCTTCGCTTTTCCAGTAACATCTGCTACAAAACTATTTCCTTCATGGCATATTTACACATAATTTCCACGGTTTCCTTTTCTGCTTTAAGTATTTGCAAGCATTAATTAATACAAAAATCAGCTTTATTGTGGTATAATGTACATACAATCAAATACTCCTGTTTTAATAGTGCATTTCCATGAGTTCTGACAAACTGATATACCTGTGTAACCACCCTGATTGGTTCCTTCACAAGGAGACACAGCTCTCTTACCCTGCTCTAGCTATCTCACGTGCATACAAACATGGGCTCTAGCCCTTGAAATGCAAGAATTCCCTGCCCAGCTCCACGGGCAGATGGCAACCCACCATCTCCTTAAGCACTATCAGTGCCCAGGGGGTTATTATTAAGAGAAGTCATATTCCATATTCCATTTCAACAACCACAATCATGTGTGAGAAAGTGTTCGTGTCAAACCTAATGTTCGCTCACCTGGAGCAATACAATGTTAAAAGGACATAGGCTTTTGCCTTTCAGATTATTTTTTTTTTTTTAAGATTTATTTATTTGGGGAGGGGAAGGGCAGAAGGAGAGAGAGAGAAAGAGAGGAGGGGCAGAAGGAGAGAGAATTTCCAGCAGGCTCCCTGCTGAGCCCAGAGCTAGACACAGGGCTCAATCTCATGACCCTGAGATCATGATCTGAGCCGAAAACAAAAGTCAGACGCTTAACCTACTGAGCCTCCCAGGCACCCATCAGGTATTTTTACACAGTCATTCTCTCTCTCTCTCTCTCTTTCTCAGACACCCTGTAACTTCTCCAACCTAAAACAGCTTCAGTGGTTTCTCAAGGGTTCCAGAACCCTCTCCCACCCTGCTCCCTCTTCCCCAGGACTCCTCAATGGGCCTCTGAAGCAGCCACTGTGTGTATTTTTGACCTGGGCAGAGTACTGTGGCAACTGCCTCCTAGATCTCTACTCAAATATTTGCCAAGTGCCCAGCATGTGCCTGGCACTTAAATATGAGTAAGACTCTGTACCTGCCCTCAGTAAGGTCACATAATTCCATTAATGCAGCCCAATTAATGATGTCAATGGCTGTTTCAGGGTCAGGCTCATATTGAACTTGGAATGAGCTGGAGTTCATATACATTGCGGTCAAGGCAGAATAACTCCTTCCAACCTAAGTGCACGGCTTTACAGAGGCCCTTGTTAGCTTTTATTACTTTGATTTTTGTCTTTTCCAATAACCAACATAAGAACTCTGGCAAGATATTAACTATTGTTAAAAACGAGGCAGTTAATACTTCATAAAAAAATAAAGCTATTCCCTTATTTCTCCTCATTGAAATTGAAACTAGTTTCTGAGGTGAAGAGTGAATTAGTCTGTGTGGTTTTACCTATGGCTGTAAATACATTATTTACGCAAAAGCCAAGCTGTGTTGTATCATTTCATGGTACTACAAAATGTGATGGCAAATGAGGGTTTAATTTTCTTTTCCTTTCCTTTTTTTTTTTTTTTTTTTTAATTGCAGGTGCTGTGCTTTTTCTGGCAAACTCCTACTTATCCTTCCAGACCAAATGCAGATGACACCACTTAGGTGAAGACTTCCAGATTCCTAGACAGAAGAAAGAACCACTTCTGTCTTCTCTCCTTTGCTCTTAGCTCATTACTGCAGCATGCTACAGGGTCATTTACCCATTTTCATGTCTGTTTAGGGTCACCAACCATCCCTGTGTATTGGGGACTGCCCTAGGTTTAGCACTAAAACCCCCGAGTCCTGGGAAACCCCTCAGTCCTGAGAAAATCAGGAAAACAAGTTACTACGTGATAGTGAGTAGCTGCTTAACAAAATAGCCATCTTTTATGAGGGGCCAAAACCAACTACTTCACAAACACTGCCTAATATTTGTCTAATATAAGACAACACTGAAAGGAGTTAGGATTATCCCATTTTATAGAAAGAGAGGGGAAACTGAGAGGTAAGTAACTTGCCCAAGATCACAGGGGTACCTGGAATTGAATGAACATTCGCCTGTCATACAGCGGCTCTCAATAAATATCATGGAATCAGTAATCACTTGTCATCATGCTTCTATCACTCAGCATCAGCCAATATGCCAGTGTTGGTCCTTGATAAACTAGCAGGCATTTACAGGAGGGTCCGTATGATAGGAGGAACAGATAAAAAAATATATATTTATTTACATGCACTGCTTTTAAATGAACTTGCTTTTAGGTAAGTGCCACCTGCAGAACATGCTGAAGATATGAATGCCAGCAAGTTCCACATGCCTCATGTTCTCTCACAAAGATAACATGGAAGTTTCCTGAAGACCATTTAACACACTTGGCTATGTATAGAGGAGATAATCCAGCTGCTAGGCCAGACCCAAGGGCTGTTTTCAGGTGGGACTTCCTGAACTAGTGGAACAGAGCAGAGTACTGGGAAGACAGGCCACACTTCTCAGCAAGGAGGTGCTCCTTGGAGGTCAGCTTGTCATTTGTTGACCCTGAAATTTGGGAAACGTTACTTACTCCAGCACCCTCCTAAGTGGTACGGGTTACATTTTAGAATTTAAATACTGTGTGCATTCATACAGTATCTTTTTTTAATTTTTTTAACATTGTTGTGGTTGTAACTCTGAAGACCAGAAAAGCATAGCCTCCATTTTTGGACTTTGAACTTTTTTTTCCCTAATCCAACACCAAATTCTCATTCCAAGTTATAGGGGTTAGAAGCAACCTTTCCACTCCCACCAGTTAAAAGAAGTGGAACTCTGGAGACCATTTCTCCGTATTTTAAAACGTAAGTTCCAGAGAGAGCGTTCCAGAGACAACGGAGAGTTCTGAGAATGCAGAGCCAAAGCGCCGCACCGCGCCACCCCCCCCCAACACACCCACCCCCAGCTGCCATTGTATGGAGATGCTTCAAGCGAGCTATCTGGCTCAGGCCCTCCGAAGGGCTCCGGAGCCAGTTGCTCCTCCCCCCCGGGGGGGTGCCGTCTGGCTCCCCTGAGAAGGGGAGGGGGAAACTAGGAGCCACAGACCCAGCCCCGGCGCCACTTCCACGGTTAATCAGTTTACCTGGGATGTGTATTTGGCTGGACCCCCCTGGGGACCTTCCCTGGCCACCCAGGGTCAGAGGATAATTTAAAAGCTCTTCAAAGCCGGGACCCTTCTCAGAGCCAGCCTAAGACTGGAAACCTGGGAGGGACAGGCTTTACTCTTCAAAGTGAGAACAAATGTGAAAGGATTTAGCACTTAGTAGGTAGTCAATAAATGTTAACTTTGTTTCTCAGGTCTGGGCTTCCCCTCCCCCGCAATAGCCATCTCCAACCAAACCCGATCCTGTCCCTTCCTGAAATTCCACAAGGCCACAGGTCGTTTGCATTTTGAACTAGTGATTGCCACTTCCCTTACTTTGCCAGCCCAAAGCAACCAGACCCTTTTTCAGACTTCATTCTGTTCAATCTGTAAATCGGAGCGAGAGAGCACACGTTTGCCGGCGTTCCCAGGTCTGTCATTCACAGGAAATATTAAACTGTGCTCATTACGATTGTTATTTCTAACCTCAGACCTACAGACAAGAGGACGCTCAACTTATGGAAGCTGCTGCAAAGTCTCCATTTAAATCAGGTAATATAGAGAAGCCCCTTTGGGGTTCCGGTGTCCCCGGACGCTGACCAGGCGTGCGCTCTCAATACACCCCGCACATGCGCCGCCGCAGACCCCCGCAGTGCGCAATGCGCTCTGGCCCCCAGGCACCCACAGGGTGCCAGCCCCAGTTCAACCCATCTCCACTGCTCCAGTCCCTCCTTTGTACCAGGTGTGAAATCCCGACAGGAGAATCATCTGCCACTGCGAAGGATCCTCCAACTGGGCCGCCAAATGGCCCAGAAGATCTTGGGCCCTAGCCAATGTAATCAGTTCCCTGCTGAGGACTCCAAGGGAGGGCCGAGAGGAAATGGGAGCAGAAACCCCGCGATCGCTAACGCTCTCCACCAAGGGCTCCCGGGGCTGCTCCTCCCAGCTCTCCAGTGAGCCTGTCGGCCTCCCGCGGTCACCTACAGATGGGCATGGCGGGCTCAGACACACCCGACGTCTGGGGCTTAATGGGGACACACTCAGACCCTGCCACCCCGCAGTCCTCTCTCTTTGAGAAAAGCATCTCGAAAGCAGGCTCGCCCTCGCTTAACAGAATCTGGGCTCTTTGGGGCTGTGACCTTCACCGCCGCCATCGTTCGGCGCCGCCAGCTTCGGTCTTCCAGTTTGCTTTCCTTGAAACTCACGCGTCCTGCCCCTTCCCCACCGCCCGCCACCCTACACACACACTTGTGAAAAATTAAATGCCCCAAACAGTGCTCAGGACAGCCTGTTCCGATACCCAGCCGGCCCCGGTGCTTGCGCTCAGTACTCACCGAGATTGGGGTGTCGGGCAGCGGGGTTGGCCCTGCCGGGCAGGCTGTGCAGGACCGGGCTGTCGAAGGGACCGGCGGAGGCCGCGGCGGCCGCGGCCCAGGACGCGCCCACGTCGGCCATGTAGGCGGGGTAGGGGCTGGAGTAGGAGCCTGCGAAGCCCGCACGCCCGTACTGCTCGCGGCCCGTCAGGCCCGCACCCGCCGCTGCGCCACTACTGCTGTAGGCCGCGGCTTCCCGGGCCGCGGCGGCGGCGGCGGCGGCTGCCAGGGACCCAGTGGTTCCCGGGAAGGAGAAGCGCGGCGACACAGGCGGGGGGGTGTAGGCGGCTCCCTCGGCTCCCGCCTGGCTCCAGCCCGGGCTGCCCTGCTGGGTTCCGGGCCCGGCACCCGACGGGGCCCCACCGGAGCTGCCGCCAGAGGTGGCTCCGGACGCAGCGCCCCCGCCTCCGCCCTGGAGATAAGACAGGCCCAGCACAGAGGAGGGCACCCGCGGCGTGGGCACGTAGACTGGCGAGGACGCAGCGCCCGCGCTGTGCATGAAGGCGCCAGGGCCGCCCGCCTCGTAGGCCCCGGGAGGGGGGCCGTGGTTGGCCGCCATGGCCAGGCTCTGGTACATCGCCCCCGCGAGCTCTCAGCTTCTGAGTCCTCTCTCCCACGTGCGAGTCAAGGCGCAATGCAGGGACAGAAAATAATAGTAGAAAAAATAATAATAATGTACAGGTGAGAGCCTGTCACGTAAATGAAGATCAAAAATCAAAAGTAAAAAAAAAAAATCTCTCAAAAATATATACGTATTAAATCCAGCATCGAGCAAAAAAGACTCTAGGCTCCTGTTTATAGGAAAATCCCAAATTGAATTTTTGGTTCTTCCTGGAGGTGCTGGAGGAGGGGCTGAGTCTACCCCCAGGCCTAGAGGTCCTGAGCACCCACGAGTAGCAGAAGAGGCGGGGTAGTGCCTGGGCGCCTGTGTGGGGCACGGGCCTTCGGGTCACGCCGGCGGCCGTCGCTGCGCACGGTCTTCAGGACACCCGCAGCCTCCGGCGCTGGGTGAGGTAGGCTGGTTCCAATGCGGAGGGTCCGGTTGGCTCTTTTCCTCCTTTCCTCCTTGCTGCGGTCCTACCTAAATGAGGAACGACAAAAAGGGGAAGTTCATCAGGAGCATTCAGAGCACACTCGCTATGCTTGCGGTTGCTTCTCTCGAACTGCTAACCCAAGAAATCGTCACCCTCGGCGCCCAGCTTTGGAAGCCGTGCGCTTCCAAAGGAAGCTGCGGTCTTGGTTTTGCGGAGGCCAGGGGCTGCTCCAGGGAAGCCTACGGAGGGCAGCTCTAGGGACATGGGGCTTCACGGTTATTGGACATGTAATTACTGGTTGTGACCGAGGTTATTATTATTATTATTATTATTATTGTATTGCTTGTCAGGAAGGACTTTAATTTTACCTTATTTTTCAAGCATATTCTTGTCACAGTATTTTTTAAGTTCAAGGGTTTCGGGTTTCTGGAGTGCCTGGGGCACAAGAAATATTGCTCATCTCTGTCCCGCCTAACCCCAAGTGTCCCTGGCTGTGAAAAAACTTTAGATTGCCCACGAAAGACAAAGACAAACTTTATAAAAACCAGCAACCTAAGAAATTTTTGTTTGTAACCTTTTTTTTTTTTTTTTTAGCTAGAGGCAGAGTCTAAATGTTTATACAGGAGCACAGGGTCTGCTAAATCTCTGTGAAAAGGATTGTGAAATCTCTTATCCATCCACACACTTTATCATGTGGAAGTCAAATCAGATGAGGTATTTGTTTCCTGCAAATAATTATATTTTAGCAATTTTGCAGATTGGGTATCAAAACCAGAAAAGTGAAAGGGATATCCAAGTTCACTTTCCAGAACTACTCACTGGGCCATTCTGATTCACTGAATGGGTTTTTCCATATAGAATCCCTGGTCATCCACCCATGCAGGGAATTAGAACACCAGTGACACTGCTTCGAGGGGAAGAACAGTTCATAGGACTTGATTATATCCTTGTATCCTGTGTTTTTATTTTCTCAGGCAATTTTCCTGATAAAATAAGAGCTCGACGTTCTGAAGCACCTGCTCTGTTCCAGGTCCTTTTCGTCACAGCTCCACTAAGGAAAGTGTGTCGCCTCCATTTACAGAAGACGGAACTGAAGTATCGGAAAGTTTTGAAACTTGTCAAAGATCAAAATACAATTAAAGAGGGGTGGGGGACAGAATCTGTGGGCCTCCAGGGTTTGAGGTTGACCACTACACTCCCACTTTTCTCCTTAAGATGAGGCAACCACTTTAACAGGGGTTTCTTTTTCATTGCAATAGTAGAATTACAAAGATATTAACTGACCTTTATTACACTAAATACAGGCTCTGTCACTCACTGAATGGATGCCTTTCGACACATTACTTAACCTCTGTGCCTCAGTTTCCTCATTTGCAAAAATGCAAATGTTAAAGGTATCTATCTTGTAGAGTCACTTGGGGATTGTGAGGATTATAAATTAATATATAAAGCACTTATAACAGGGTTTTATAAAACTTAACAGACACAAAGTTCTATATAATTGTTGGCCATTATTATTACAGATTTCTAGTGTGCCGTAAGACAGTGCCTCAGATATAATCATACTATAATAAATGGGCATCTTAATTTTTATAAAAAATTCTGAAAGTGGAATTTCTAATACTATATAATGCTTTTAACCATTTTTGTAACATCACTAATGATAATGGAGTTAATAGCACTGTATTATATAGTCACATGTTAACTCCTAGATGGTTTATTATTTGCTTTCAAAACTATACAATAAATTATTGGTTTGTTGGACATTTTCTTCAGTAAGAAGTTTGGCTAGAGGGTGGATAAAAAAAAAATTTGATCTGAGGGGTACCTGGCTGGCTTAGTTCCTGGAGCATGTGACTCTTGATCTCCCGGTTGTGAGTTCAAACCCCCGGTTGGGTGTAGTGATTACTTAAAAGTAAAATGTTAAAAAAAAAAAAACTGATCTGAGATCACCAACTTCACTCTTTGAAAATGAAGGCAAAAGATTAGTACCTCATAGGAATTTCTGGGCTTCAATAAGTAAATACATAGGCTTACCTTGATAAAATATTCAGTATTTAATTTTTACATCAAATAGTTGACCTATTTCATTGTATATTCTATGATACTCAACTTCTGCAGTTCTAAAACATAACATCACACTTTTTTCTCACATAACTGCAGGAAAGGAAGATTTATAATTTTGTAAGCCAACTTCCAGTATACATACAGACGCTAATTTACAAGTTTTAAAATGTAAATGCTAAAACTGCCATAAATCTAACATTTGTCTTTATTACATGCTCTACCTTTTTAAATGGCTGGTACATTACCTGGGCATTGGATTACTGAACAATAGACGGTGGAGAAAATACCCCTCAATACCTTTCTGGAAAGACAAGAAATCATTCTGCTTGTTTTATTATTAAGCCTCGGTTCAGATATCCGCAGAGGTAGTAGAGCGAGCTACTGAGAATGGCAGATCGGGCCTCGCTATGGGGGCTCAGGCCTGCTCCCCAGTTTTTCCTCTCCTCTTGATCACTCATTCCAGTTCACCTCAAATTCACAGACCAAACAGGAAATGCTTTCTTCGTGATTTAGCTCACAGCTCTTTTCCAATCCATGTCTGATTGCGGGAGGATCGAAAGCTTGCCCTAATGTCCGCGTCCATTCACAAGTCACTCCTGCTCTTTCGGCTCAGCTCGCGTCCCTGTTCTCGGCCTGCTGCGCAGAAAACTGTCACACACGCACCACACTGGCCGGCAATAATAAAGCTGGCCGCTGCTGGGGAACGTGGAGACTCAGAAGTGTGTGTGTTTTGGGGGGGGGGTGTATCCCAATGAAACCTTTCTTTAAAAGCCTGAAACCTGCTCTTGGCTGTCCATTCCTTTTCTGAGAAACACAGGAAATACTTCTCTGCCGCGCTTCCCCAACCTTCCCTGGAGAGCCACCGTGCTGCCCCAGATTCTACCAGCCCTGGGTCCCTCTCCACCCTGTTTCCCAACCGAAAGGCCTCTTCTTTCCCTCCACCTGGTGACAGTTCACCACCCAGGCATCCTCCTCTCCCCTGAAGGACCCCCTCGCCCCCAGCCCAAAGCCAAGCGACATAATACTATGGATCGGGGCAGCTAACCGTGGCTGGCGGAGGGACGTCACTGCTTTCCTCCCGGGTTCCGGCCCACAGCTCGCCCAGATGTAGTGTGAGTGGGTGGGGTTGTTAGCTTCGTGGGTGGTGTTTGACTCCCTGGACCCCAGTCAGGAAGGCTAGGAGGCTGGCCAGAAGCGCATAAAAAGTCCGGGCGCTCAGTAGCCGTTGCCGACTTGGAAGCGCCTGCCCGGGGCCGAGGCCCAGTCGCGCTGCCTCCCACCGCCACTCTGAGTCCCCGGAGCCATCGACGGACGACACTGCTCCGTCTGAGCCCCTCCGTGCGGCCTGTCCCGGGTCAGTTGGTCAGTGTGATTTCGTACGGCCGTCATCCCCATCCAGACCCTGGCCTGGGAGGTGCAGAAACAAGGGCTGGAGAATATATACGCGGGGGCGGGGATTAAAAACGTTCAAGTTCACACACACACACACACACAAATCCAAAAGCACTTCGAATATCCCTCTTCGCTTCCCCCCCAATCTTACTTTGATTTAAAGACGTTATTAAGCCAATGCCCAAAGTTGAGCAGTCTTAGACCAATTTGGGGGCGGAGAGAGTGACCAACGTCTCCTTTCCATCCACCAGTTCCCTCTCCGCTCCCAGGCAAACAGCGCAGAGGAGCTCTGAATTTCGCTGACGGCGGGAAAGAGCGTGGTGGGGGAAGAAAAAGCCGTACCTGCCGGGACTTGAGCTTGCTGGAGGGCCGGCGCGCGCTCCCCTGGGCGCCCCGGGAGCTACGGCAGCGGCGGTGCCTCTCGCGGCCACTGTGCCGGCCGCCTCCGCTTCCCCCAGCTCCCGGCGCGGGTCCCCTCGCCCCTGCGCTCGCGTTCTCGGGCGCTGACTGGCCTGTGGGAGTCACGTGCAAGGGCGGGGGGCGGGGGTGCGCCGCAGAGGCTGCACCTCCGCACCGCGCCGCGGCTGTGGGGCTGTACAAAAAACTCCCCCAACAGGCAAAGTCCAGGCGCAAGGATCTCGGAAAATGCTCAAGTGCCACTGCCGGGGAGCGGGGCTTCACCCACCGCGGTGCCTGAGGTCGATTCGGTTTGCAGTTTTGCCCAGGGTCAGCTTTATTCAGGAGCTCCCCTCTCCTACCTCCTCCCTCCACCCCATCCCCCACCCCCGCCTCCTGGTGGTCCGAGTCCTGCCCCAGCCCTGGACTCGCGGGGCAAGGGGCGGGGCTGATAGAAGGGAAGGTGACCTCTTGGGCGAGACCCCTGATCGGCGGTGGAGCACAGGGTCACCAGGAGAGCCGGGCTGGCTGCGAGTCTCCGCGAGGTAGTGGATAGTGGGGATCCTGCTAGCCCCAGACTGCGAGTGGAAAAGCCACGAAACCTGGGACTGGCCCACTCAAGTCAGAGCGCAGTGACGGCAGCTTCCCTTTCGTCTTCTCAGCAGCCTGGGGAGGCCGCAAGGCGGCCTCTCCAGCCCTCAAAGTTATGTATTTATGCAAAACGTGCACCCTTTCCTGGCGAAGCTTCCCATCTCCTATGGCCTCCCACCTTCAGATCTTTCCGTTTTCCCTGCAGCCTGCGGCGCTGCTGCACCAATCCGAGGGACGTGGCGGGGGCTTGGGGGAGCTTGGCAGTACAGCAGGGCTTCTCAGCGGAGAGGTCTTCCAGCCAGCTCAGCCCCCTCCCTAGAGCTGGGGGCGGGGAGGGTGGCAGGCCTGAGTCTGGAGTCGGCGTCAGTGCCTAGAGGCCCCAGCGCAGCGGGGCTGCGAGCCGGAGAGTCCCTCAGACAGGTCTAAAGGTTAATAGAGCAATCACAGGGCCCTATTACCGCGTAAAAATAACCCATCGATTACCGCAGCCTTCAGCCCCAGATAACAGCCGGCCGGTGGCTCTCACGCTTTCGGTTAAACTTCCCCCCCCACCCCAAAGCCGAGTTTCTCTCTCTAGAGCAGGTTTTTCATACCAGATTAGAGGGGTCGGGAGGGGGCCGGGATACCACCCTACACGAAACCCGTGCGGCTGCGAAGGAAGGGTAAGGGGTTACACCAGCTTCCGCTGTTGGTAATCGGCAGTGGATTCCTGGCCTGCGCGAGGGCAACCCGGGCGCAGAGGATGAGACTAGGACGCGGGGCTGATTGGAAGGAAACCCCCAAAGGGATCCTGGCCAACTCATGGGGATTCTCAGGAAAATCCCGGAGGAAGGACTGAGCGCGGCTGCGCGGGGAGTTCTTCCTGAGCGAAACGTGCGGAGGTTCAGAGGAGCCTGAGTGCAGGAGAGAAAACTGAGGCACCCCGCGGAGCCGCGGAAGGCCTGCGCGGGGGCTGGACGCACCCTCGCCGCCCCCACCCCGACCCCCTGGCAGCTGCTCGCCTAGGCCCCTTCGCGCCCCGGAAACTAAGAACGGTCTGTTTAGGGACCCTGCTCCAGCTTCCCTCAACTCCTCGCTAGCGCCTCTGCAGAATTTGGCGCTGGCAGATCCCAGATGTCTGGGAACTTAAAAGGGAGGGGGTCCTGGGGACCTGGGAGGCTGGAGCGGTTTGGGGAGGACACTCGGGGAGTCGCACTTTCAGACGAATGGCGGAGAAGGGTACGCGACCCCTGCGCGGTCGAAAACGACATCCCCATTGGCCTACGAGGGCTTTCTGGAGACTTAAACGTGTGGGCTTGGACAAGCGGCAAGCTGTTCTGGCCTCTCTGTTTTCGGTGGGGATTTGTGGCTCCAGCGAGGCCCGAGGTCTCAGAGCTGCCTTCAGCACGAGACCCTCAGAGCTGAGCCTGCGGCCTGTGGGCATTGGGTTTTCTTAGCAACAAGCCAAGGGCTTGGGGTTTGGAGTCTGGTGGAGCGGCCATCCAAGCGTCCTCACCAAAGCCAAGGACACAGACCACTCCCAGGCGGGCTTCTACCAGTAGTGCGGGATGACCCGCGGCACGAGCGTGTGTGCTGAGGTTCGCTTTAGCTGGGTGCCCTGAGGCGACCCTCCCCCCCCCCCCACTGCTCCCACACTAGGCCTCCCGGAACTTTAGTCTCCTCTTCTGTGGGGGGGGGGGGGCGGAACAGGCCCTGCCTGCTCTAAGTGGCCGTTGTGAGACCCCAGATGGAAGAGCCTGGTTTTTCTAAGCTCTCGCTTGCTAGGAACCCCGGATTCACCGAGAGTCCTCTTCTGGCAAGGGACCCGACAGAGCTCTTTTACCCACGCCCCGTTCTGGCGCAGTTCAGGTGGGCTGAGGCCTGGGAGCCTTGAGAGATTCGCTCCTTCTAGGAATGCGCCTGGGATAGAGAAATTTGTGTCTTTCCTGTGGCTCATTTCTCTGGACCCAGCGCCCCAACTTTCTCCCCAAAGCGTTTAGCTCAAGGACGGTCCGGAAGGTGGTTGGCAAGCGGTCTGTTCTTTTGGGGTGTTTGATTTTCCCTCGCTCCCTCCCTCCGTCTTTCGGTCGGCCCCCTCCCTCACTAGGGTAAGGCGGGAGCCCCCGCGTCCGCCGCGCTGTTGCCAGGAGCAGGGAGCATTTCAAGGCCTCCCTGGCCCGCCGGCTGGAGGAGGTTTATCGGCTGCCGCTAAGTTCCCAGGCTTCTCTCTCGCTCAGGAGGCCGCTTGGGGGTGGGGGGGGGGTTGTGTTTAAGGTTCGGATTCTTGGCTATTTTTAAGGACATGTCCCTGGGCTGGCCTGGGATGGTGGCCCAACCCCACTCACGTCCTCTTTCCGCTTTTCTTTCCCATAGTCAACAGGGAAAATTTAATACTGTAAAAATCTTTGATCTCTTTTTACTAAGGGCCTGGATCTAATGAAGAGTCACGTCATGAGATTTTAGACAAATAAGAATTACTTAGATGTACTGCACACTTTAAAAAAATCTCCCCAGGACACAAGAATAAATTGCATTTTCTTGCTCCCTTAAGACCTTGGGGACTTGAGCGGGTCCATACCCTAGTAAAGACGCAATTGTAGACTGGACATGGTGTACAGAGGAATCTGAACTCTATTTCCCTGAACAAAAGAGTTAATAAACTGTGGACGATGGAAATCACGGTGACACCAGCCAGGGTCTCCCCTCGTGGGGTAACCGGATTTCCTGGCGGGACCCGAGCCAGCTTATTGTAAACGCAGCGCAACCTCAGGTGCCAGAATCTCAGATTTTGGTTGATAAAGTCATTTGGCACCCTGCGGAAATCAGCCTCCGCTGCCGCCTTACAAAAACCAACAATGCCTGAAAAAACACGGGGCACCCAAAGTCTTATAATCGGAACAAGAGACCCCCATAGAGAGAGATAACCAGAGAGGGAACTAGGAAGTCCCCCGTCGTCCTTTGTAACGAATTCCTCTGAGATGTAGACGCTTCTCTGCGGACTTGGGCGCAAGGGCTCATGACAGACATGCAAAGTGACCCGCGCTGAACGTAGGCTGGCTCTGGTCCCCACACGGCCCTCGAATTCCCCCACCCGGCCCGCACGTTTCCTCCTCTGAGATTCTTAGTCCTCGCTGGCGTGACCCACCCTGCCCCCTGTGCAGCCCACCTCCCCACCCCCCACCTTGGGCGGAGCTGGGAGAACCAAACTGCAGAGCTGGGCTAGTCCCCACTGACGCAAAATCGGAGAATGAATTAAGCTGCTGGACTACGTAGACCTTCTTTCCCTCCTTGTGCCTGGCGTTTGAACACCAGAATTCTTTGTGGGGTGGGGTTGGCGGTGTCGGGGACATAGAGACCCCCTCCCCCTCCCACCCAAATTAGCTCAGCACCCCAGGAAGTGATCAAGCTTTTTCGTCCTGTCTTATTTTTAAAAATACTATTCGATGGGGCGCCTGCGTGGCTCATTCGGTTAAGCGTGGGACTCTTGATTTGGCTCAGGTCATGATCTCAGTGTCCTGACACTGAGTCCCTCTTCTGCCTCGGGCTGGGCGTGGAGCCTGCTAAAGATTCTCTCTCTCCCTCTCCCTCTGCTTCTCCCCCTCTCTAAAAATAAAATAAAATAAAATAAAATATTTTAAAAATACTATTCGGTGTTGCAAAGTGAAGCCAAGGTCTCACTCACAGACCTCCCCGAAAGCCTCCTTGGTGCTTCTGGCCCTGAGGATCAGAGTTTTTGGCACAGCCCTTAATATTTTATAGTCATTTCCAAATTACCAAACACTCTCAAATTCCATTTTTCTGGAGGAAACAACAACATTGGGGAGCTAGAGGAAGGAAGAGAAGGTGTTACCATCTCATACAAACAAGAACTTAGAGACCCAGAGACGTTGAGACACTTTTCTGAGGTGGCAAAGCCAGTGCACTGGACAATAGGTCTCAGATCTAGATTCCTGAGTCTTAGTTCTTTTTTCCACTCTATTTAATGTTGAGTTTCTATAATGAAACGCTTTTCTATTTTTTTTTTTTTAAGTAGGTTCCGGGGCGGCTAGGTGGCTCAGTCGTTAAGCGTCTGCCTTCCCCTCAGGTCATGATCTCAGGGTCCTGGGAAGGAGCCCCGTGTTGGGCTCCCTGCTCAGCGGGAAGCCTGCTTCTCCCTCTCCCAATCCCCCTGCTTGTGTTCCTTCTCTCACTGTGTCTCTCTGTCAAATAAATAAATAAAATCTTTAAAAAAATAAAGTAGGTTCCATGCCTAGCTCGGAGCCCAATGTGGGGCTTGAACTCAGGACCCCGAGACCAAGACCTGAGCTGAGATCAAGAATCAGATGCTTAACCGACTGAGCCACCCAGGCACCCCTGAAACACTTTTTTAAACCCGCCTTTTGTTTTTCAAATATCTCTAAGATTCCTTTAATGAATACGCCTGACATTTAAAAATGAAAATCAATTTAAAATAAAGCAGGTCATGTCTCATAATCTAAGAGCCTGGGAGAAGAGAAA